GCCAGAAGCTGGGAACGGGAAAGATCTGCTCAGGCTAGACTCATATTTTAAACCCTTTTATCAAAGTACATTATACCCCAGAAAAGTGCACGCCTTACAGGCACTTTTGAAAGATTTTCATAAAGTGAACAGACACATGTAACTAGCTCCCAGTTTCTTAAACAGAACAGGTCCCCGGGGTGCAGCTCAGTGGTAGGGCGCTTGCCTAGCTTGTGCAAGTTTCTGGGCTCCGTCTCCAGCACTGAAAAAAAATTCATAACCTTGGCAGCACCACTTGTCTTCATGCCTATCTCCCTGACCAAGCGGCTGCCCTCTGGCTGCCAGTGCTAGATTCATGTTGTCTGCTTTTAAAAACTTTTAGTAAATGGAATCATATTATATGCACTTTTTTGTGTGTGCACACGGTACTGGGGATGAAACCCAGAGTGCTCTATCACTGAGCTCCACCCGCAGCCCTTTTTATTTCAAGACAAGGCTGGCCTCCAACTTGAGACCCTCCTCCCTCAGCCCCCCGAGTCACTGAGATCACAGGTGAGTGTCACTGCATCCTGCTCCATCCTCTGTTCCCTCTTCCTCTTCTGCTCCCTTTCGGGTTGTGTGTACATTCTGGCACCTTAGCTATACCTTACCATGTCTGCAGTTCCCACCGTGTCCTCCATGGACCCATGGAGTCCCAGAGACCCTTTCAGGGGATCAAAATTATTTCATAATTACACTAAAATGCTATTGGCCTTTTTGATTCCTGTTTAGTGTGGTGACTTTCCAGCTGCAGGCTGATGTGTGGCAAAAATATATAAAAGGAAATAACAATGCTCAGAAGATCTGTATGATATAAAATACCGGGACAGTCTTTCCCAGATGATCGCTGCAAGATGCTACACTGTAGTCATGCATGGGTTAAATAACCATTCAAATGCCAGGTAGGGATTGGGGGAGAGAGCACTTGCCTAGTGTGCAAGAAGCCCTGGGTTCTGGACCCTAGATTTGATCCCCAACACCCCAAAGAAAATAAAAAGGCAAGGTAGATCAATGGAGTTTAATGTAATAGAGCATGAAATACAACAATACAGTTTCATATTCTGCTCTGTAACTAACCTTTGAGAAACTAGCACTTTCGAGGAACTGTGGCACACACCTGTAATCCCAGAGTCAGGGGGCCAGTAAGGAGGATCACAAGTTCAAGGTCAGCTGCAACAACTTGCAAGATCCTGTCTCAAAATAAAATATTAAAAAAATAAAGTAAAGGGCTGGGGACATAGCTCAGTGGTAGGGTATTTACCTATCATGGCTGAGGCCCTGGGATCAAGCTCCAGTACTGCAGAAATCAAAAACAAGAAACTAGTACTAATTGAGCTCAGGTGTAGTATCAAAGAAAAATATCTGAAATTTACTGAAAATATTATTAAAATATTCTTTCCTTTCCCAATTTTATTAGGCCATTTTTCTTCATCTCTTTTACCAAAACAACCTGCCATAACACATAAAGGGCAGAAGCAGATGTGAGGGCCAGCTGTCTCTCATCACTCCACGTGGTAGAGATTTGCAAAACAATGCCATTCTTCCCAAATACTTTTGTTTTACTTTTTTAAATATTTATTTCTCTCTCTCTCTTTTTTTTTAGTTGTAGTTGGACACAATACCTTTACTTTATTTATTTTTATGTGGTGCTGAAGATCGAACCCAGGGCCTTGCACGTGCTAGGTGAGCGCTCTAATGCTGAGCCACGGCCCCAGCCCCTATTTTTGTTTTATTAAATGTAATATAATAACAATTATTACTATTAGCTTTGGTGCTAGGAATTGAACTCAGAAGTGCTTTACCGCTGAGCTATGTCCCCATAGCAAGACAGGGTCTTGCTAAGTTCATTAGGGCCTCACCAAGTTGCTGAAGCTGGCTTTGAACTTGTGATCCACCTGCCTCAGCCTCTAAGTCACGGAATGACAGGTGTGCACCAGTATACATGACTGTAATTATTTTTAAAGTGAAAATGTTATTTATGCTGACATATAATTATTGCTGTTCATGAGTCAGTATATTCAAAATGTATGTCTTGATTGTTAATCCAGCAAATAGAAATGGATACATCCCACCATAGGGGTCAGAAAGTGTTTCCAGGGCAGGGATGTAGCTCAGTGGCAGAGTGCTTAACCAGGGTATGGTTGGATCTGGAGGGTCCCCCAAAGGCTCACGTGTTAAAGGCTTGGCCCCCAATGCAGTGACATTCAGAGGTGGGGTTTGGGGGAAGTAACTGGATCGTGAGGTCCTTATCAGTGGACTGTTGGAGGTGGTGGAAACTGGGAGATGGGTCCTTGAGGTCCTGGGAGCACTATATCTTGTCCTTGGCGTCCCTCTTTCCCCACTTCCTGTGCCAGTCCCCCATTCCTTTCCCTCGCCCCCTCTCCCTGTCTCTAGCAGCCATGGAGCCAGCTGACCATGGGCGCAAACCTCTTAACTATGAGCTAAAATACATCTTTTCTCCTTTGATTTGGTTTTCCCAGATATTTTGTCATAGTGACAAAAATCTGACTAGCGCAACCAGCCTGTGTGAGGCCCTGAGTCTACCCCCAGTATCACATAGAAAGAGAGAAAGAAATGTTCTCCAGCAATGACTGACTGGTACTAAGCACTCATTCCTTGTGGTGCTCGTAACAAATGACCGTGGAACTTGGGGACCCTCTTGCTTTGTGTGCCTCTTGTCTTCTGTGTCCTCTCCTCTCTGGTGAGGTCAACAGCCATTGGGCTGAGGGCCCACCTAATCTGGTACGACTGCATTTAATCATACATGCAAGGACTCTATTTCCCAATAGGATCACACCCTGAGGTTCCAGTGGGTGTGAATCTGGGGGATCACTATTCAACCCTTATGCCTGGTGCACTAGTAGACAGGAACGTCCTAAAGAGTGTGACGATCTGTCAGGAAACACAAGAGGATGGGGAGGGATGGAAGGGGTAACACTGGAAGACCAATCACTAGAGGTCAGGTGCTCCACAGCGGAGTCAGGGCACGCTGGGCCCTGTGACAAACGGCAAGGCCATGTCCCCTGAGGAGCCACAGGTTCTCTAGAACACCAGTGGAGCTAGATTCCGAGGTGCTGAGTCGAAGGGAGTGGGAATGCATTTGGATAGGGGCGAGTGCTCTGCTTTGGCACTGCCCTCCTGGGAGGCTGGCTCCTGGCCTCACTAAGTGAGGCCACCGGTAGGAGGAGGGCTGCAGGGCTCAGAGAGGGGCCCCGCTGCCGAGGATGTGCTGTATGAACCTGGTAACCCCCTGCTGGGACTAGGTCCTGCGCGGGGCTGAAGGGCACCATTTGCCAAATTAGTAAGGATGGCATGGCAAAGGCTTGCGGCATCACCAAGAAGCAGGGCAGCAGCAGACAGTAGGAGATGCCACTCTAGAATCAGGCTCTGTCGTGCTGCCTGGTGGACTCCAGAACTGCAGAGGCCCACGGCATGCCCAGCTGTCAGAGCCAGGGGTCAGAATTATTGCCAAGACAGAGTGGCAGAGGGTGAGGGAGACAGCAGAGAGGGCCCAGCACTTTTAAGGGCAAAATGGATGCACAGCCATGGGGGCACTCACTTCCTGGTCTGTGCAATTAAAAGACACAAAGAATGGAGGCTCCGGGGACGGCCACAATTGTGAAAAGCAATGACTGCTTCTCCAGGTTCCTCACTCAAGACCAGTTTCAGACCCAGAAACCACCGATGGGAGGAAAGCTGGGTCCCCAAAAAGTCCTTGCAACCTGTAGCAAATGGGTACAGTAATGATTTCCAGGATCACAGGATCTAGGCTCTGAGCTCACGTCGATCCTGAGAAACCCAGAGTCTCATACTTAGACCGGAGGCGTGTGGAGGCTGGGTAATAGCTGCAGTCCTCACCCTGGCTGACTCACAGGGCCACTCACTGGGTTCTAGCCACTGTGATTGACTGTCTGGTCCCTGGCTGTGGAGCTGCCGGTCATCTTGATACTGGCCCAGCCCCACATCCGTTCTCTGACTTGTGGGATGATAATAGTAGAAATCAAGTGTAAATTCTAAATGCCCCACCGAGATAATCAATAGTAAATCAAAACAATCTATGATTCCAGGAGGGCCAGGCTTGGTGGCACTTCCTGTAATCCCAGTGACTTGGGAGGCTGAGGCAGGAGGATCACAAGTTTGAAGCCAGCCTGGGTAATACAATGAGTCCCTGTCTCAAAATAAAAATGAAAAATCGCTGGGGGTACTGCTTAGTGGCAGCATGCCAGGGTTAAACCTCCATGACCACAGGAAAAATAAAATTAAATCCCAGGGGATGGAAAAATTAATACCATCTTAAAAGACCTAAAAGATGCATTATAATGTCATTTAATTGACCAATCAGATCCTACAATAGCCAGATAACTCCAGGAGGGCTTCAGCAGACTCAATCAAGTCAGAAGCCCATTGCAGGGAGGGGCTTTTATTTTTGGTGGCAAAATAAACGTAAACTAAAATTTGCCAGTGTCACCATTTTTTTTCTTTCTTTTCTTTTTCTTTTTCTTTTTTTTTTTGGGGGGGGGGTACTGGGGATTGAACCCAGGGCACTTAACCACTGAACCACATCCCTAGCCCTTTTATGTATTTTATTTTATTTAAAGACAGTGTTAGGGTTAGGGCTGAGTTGCTTAGGGCCTCACTAAATTGCTGAGGCTGACCTTGACCTTGAGATCCTTCTGTCTCAGGCTCCTGAGCTGCAGGGATTCCTGGATGCACCATACCACCCACTCATTGTCACCATCTTTAAGCGCCTGGTACAGTGGCATTGAGGACACCCCTCATTGTGCTGCCATCCATCTCCAGAACTCTTTCCCTCTTGCTAAGTGGAAACTCAGTTCCCTTAGTGGCAAGCTGTCGTCTCCACTCAGCCCCAGCCCCTCAACCCCGATTCTCAGGTGGATCTTTGCTAGGCAGACTCCTCCGGCCTCAGGTGTGGTGTGTAGTCCCACTATTGACTCAGACACAGGACAAGAGAACCTCTGGAGTAGGGTGTGGAAACCTGAATTTATCAAGCTTACCAGATAGATAGGAAGGACAGGGAATAAGAGAAGCCAAAACATCTCCTCAATGATGTGTGTGTGAATGCATGTCACAGCCTGTGGGGGCGAAGCCACAGGAAGGCAATCACCCTGGTACTGCTGTCTGAGAAGTCCAGTCAGTGTTGGGCAGAGGCGGGTTCACCGCAGAGCTGCTGAGGCTCAAACCCGGGGCCCCTCAGGAGCACAGACATGGAATAACAGATGTTCCGGGGCAGAGGGGAGACCAGGCACGACACCAGGAGGAATTCCTATGGAACTTTGAGTGTCTGGTAAATTGCTCAAAGAGAAACCAAACGGCTGGGACGTGCATCTCCAAGTACCACAGCCATTTTATATGACATGTTTCTTTCATTCTGAATATTCATTTTCACCCTTAGGAGTTTATAGCCAACAAAAGTCAGTCCCCTGGATCTGCCTTTGAGTTTTGAGGTCTGGGGTGGTTCTTGATTTTTTCTTTTTTTTAAGTCTGGCCTCGAACTCCTGGGCTCATGAGAGCCTCCTGCTTCAGCCTCCCGACTGCTCAGGACTGCAGGTGCGCGCCACCCACAGGCTGTTCCCTGAGATTTATTAAAAATCCTAATATACCGAACACCAAGATGACCGGCTCTGCTCTGGGCTCACTCTCCACAACCGGAGCAGCAGCGAGCACGTATCCTGTTTGGAATTTTCTTGCTTTACCGCCGGACTCCTGGGCCAGGGAACCCCTCATTCACGCAGCCGGGTTCTGCGATCGGCGGTCCAGCCCCTGCTCCCTGCTGCCCCCCAGTGGAACTCGGGCGGCAGCACCGCGCGCGCAGGGCGCGTCCTCCGGCGCCTTTCTCACGCTCCTGAAACCCTTCTTCACGTTTTATTGGAGCTGCTCTAAGCGCCTGGGGCCTTGCCAGGGCCTCCGAGAACCTAGAGTGAAACTTGTTACTCACTGGGAACCCCCGGTGGGTGGCTGCCTTCTCCCCCACATCACATGCCCAGGCAGCTCTCCGAAAGGGCGGTTCAGCCTCAGGGACACGCTCCCTGAGGCACACTCTGCTCCCCAGACACAGCCACCTTCTAGGGACCCACATAAGAACTAAAGCGGGGCGCGGGGTGCAGCTCAGCGGCAGAACGCTGGCTTTGCCTGCACCAGGCCCAGGACTCCTTCCCCAGCTCCAGGGGAAATAAGCCCGTGGCTGGATCTGTTCTCCAGGACAGCTCTGCCAACCTGGTATGTTTCTGAAAAGTAAATTTGCAAAACAAATAACTAAATAAAAAGTGAAAAGTCAATACGGGCTTGATGTAGTGGGCTGTGCCTGGGCAGAGGCTTCCAGACCCCTGAGGAGGGCAAGACCACCCCTGGACCCTGGCCAAGACCACTGACCTTTTCCGCTCTGCCAATCTAGCTGTGGCCCTTAACTGATATAGGTGTTGTGCATGAGGTGAGAAGGCCCTCTTTGCCACCGTCACCTCCAGAGGGGAGATCCCAAAGGGAGGGCTTAGGGGATGCCACAAGGCCTTGGGTTCTCCCGATTTTCCAGCAGACTAGGTTCATTCTGCTCCTGTCCCAGGTGAACCAGCAGGAGACTGACCTGCAGGAGCCTCCATGCACAGGTTGGCTGCAAAACCTGTAAATGCCTGTGGGAGGATTTCTCCTTAGCAACCCACTCTTTAGCCTCACACCCATAGAGATGGGACTTGACCTCTCCCAACTACCTGGTGCCAGAGGAGCAGGTGGGGACCTGTCTCCTCAGGAGTACATGTTTCAGCAAGAGGAGTTCCCAGACACCTCGGTGCTCTGACTGTCCTTGGGTCACAGAATCATTTCTCCCACTGGTTTTATGAGGGAGGGGGGGGCGTTCCTTCAGATGAGATGTGGGGATCTTAAAATGCCCTGTGAGCTCCATGCTCCTCTGTGGGCAGTGGAGATAGATCCCAGTGATAAAGCCCCTGCTTAGCATGCACAAGGCCCTGGGTTCAACCCCCAGTACTGAGGGCGGGGGGAAGCCACAGACAGAGCCACTGCCTGCACACTTTTGGCCATCAGAGGGGTCCTGCAGCTACAGAGTTGCCAGGAAGAGGTGCCTGCCTGCCTTATGGAGGAGGCTGTGGGGTCCCTGTGCACAAGCCCAGCTGAGAGCTCCAGCCCAGGCCTCCCTGACAGCTCCTGCTCATCCCTGCTAAGAACCTCTGGCTTCTGCCTCTGGCCCAGAACTTTTCGTGCCTTGGCATGCCAGTGCCCAGCTGACTGCCCAACTCAGATCCCCCAGAGCACCTGACCCTGTGCGTCACTGGTCTATCCACTCTCACCCCCCTCCCCAACTGCTTGTCCTGTCACCAGAGGGGACCGATCCAGTGCAGGTCATAGAACTGGGAGCCAAGATAGGTGTTCAGATGCAAGAAGTGGCAACAGAGAGACTTCTGCCAATTCCCACCTGGTTTAAACCCATACTGAAAGTTTTTATTTCTGGAGACAAGAACCCTGTCCTCTGCGAGCCTGAAGCAAAACTCTGCAGCCAAGGAGGAACCTGGAGCTCACAGGGTGGGCATGGGCCAGGGGTAACCTGCCCCTTATGCTTAAATGAACTCTGGAAAGTGGGCCACATTTGTCCTTCCAAGAAGCACTGGCCTTCATGAAATAAATATTTAAAAGTGAACCCAGGGCTAAGCAACTCAGTGAAACCCTGTCTCTAAATAAAAATACAAAATAGGGCTGGGAATGAGGCTCAGTGGCCACATTCAATCCCCACTATACCCCCCCCCAAAAAAAAGAGTGAGCCCAGGGGCCCAGGGTGGAAGTTAAGTGAAAACCCAGGCTGGGCAAGCTTTAGCACCCTGCACCCAATCACATCTCTGTTCACTAGTCCACCATGTTTATTGAGCACCACTCTACACCCAGTGCCCTGGACACTCGGCCCCAGCCCTGCCCTCTGGGAGTTTATAGTCTAGTCATGGCCCATTGAAGCCTTTGGGGGCACCTCACCCTGTTGTCTTGATGTTCATTTCTTTTTCCAGTAATGCCCACAGCTTTCCCCACATCCTGTCACCCAAACCAGTGCCCAGATCCTCATGGGCTGTGTGGCCTGGGCTGACTTAGTGACTGCCCTTTCCCCATCAGTTTTGCCTTCTTCCTCTTGTGCCTAGGTCCCTAGCACAGGCTGTTGGTCTAGGGGCTGGGGGAGAACTCCCTATCTTCCAGCAATGCTCAGCAAGTCCCCCAGGAAGTGACGAGAGTGACTGACAGTGGGCAGCAAGTCCTCCAACCCCCTCTGGGGCACCATTACCAAGATCCACAGGTCCCCCCTGGGGTCCTCCCAGCGAGCCTCCTACCTTTCATAGGGAAGAAAGAAACTTGTTCTTAAGAACAATTTGATTCCAGTAACCAGTCCCCAGGAACTGTAGAGAAAGCAGGCAGGGGTCTCCTGTTCCCTAACACATGCCATCTCTTGAATTTCTGTCACCCTGTGGCATGGACCCTGTTCCACTCACACCGCACCACAGCTGTGCTGGGCTCAGGGCCTCCAGAGACAAACTTCCTTCTCATCGCACCCCTCTGTACACCTCAAAAACCACCTTATGCTTGGGGAAATAAATCCTTCCAAGACCACCTTAGGAAGCCCTCACCCGCAGCCACATAAGTAACTGGGGAGGACAGCCTAGGAGTGGAGGAGACGGCTCTCCAGCCCTACATTTCCTTTACCTTTTTCTGATGCTCTGCGGAGCCATGGCAGTGACCAAAACCCCAAAGGCCATCACCTTAGATTTCCAAGCCCAGCTGGGCAGGAAGTAGGCCCAAGCAGGACTGGGCAGGCAGTGCTCAGTCTGAGCAGATGGCTGCACCTGGCCAGGTGAGCTCCTGGCCCAGGCCTTGGTCTGGTGCCAGCCCTATGGCAGGTGCATCACTGCCCAGGCAGTTTGTGGCTAGCGCAGTTCCAGAGCCAGCTGGGACGGGGAGGGCTTGTTCCTCACCCTACAGTCACTTCCCCTTCTCCTATCTAGACACATCTAACCTGGGGGTGAAGCAGGGCAGCTCCCCTTATTTGTTCCGGCTGAATCCTTGAGGGCTGCAGTCTTCCACACGGGTCACAAACATCCCATTCCAGCCTTCATCCCATTCCAGCTGGTCCCTCTTTATGGAAACAGTGGCCACCACCAAGAGCTTCGTTGCCCTGACTGGGGCCTTCCAGTTCCCTTGCAGTCACCAGGGCCCGTGGACTGGCCAAGGGACTACCACGGCCGCCAGAGCCCAGGGCCACCGGGAGGTGCAGGTGGAGAGGGCGCAGGAGCCTGCGCAGGTGGTGGCGCTGGCGAGGGGGGCCCATCAGAGTCTCCAGCCCGCCAGCCATCAGGGGTAACGCTTGATGCCCTTCGATGAAGGTGCTCCAGCAGGCGCGCGCTTATGGTGGGCTCCAGGACGCGGCAGGCCGGCAGCACACGAGTCAGGCGCGCCAGACAGGCACTGTAGCCTTCTTGGTAGCTGTCGCGTGGCGCTGCGGAGGGAGAGAGGCGTGAGACACCCAGGGTGAAAGGTGCGGAGCGCAGGGGTCTGGGCAAAGGGTGTGGTAGGCGGGGAGTGGGAGCAGGGTCACTCACGTGGCACTTCCGGGGAGTAGGGGGACGCAGGCAGCTCCTGCAGGAAGCGCACGGTCATTTCCAGAATGTCGGCCTTCTCCAACTTTGAGAAGCGCGAGTTCTGCCCCAGGCCGCGATGGAGAGGAACAGAGACCAACAAACAAAACAGATCTCTGACAGCAGCCACCAACAGCACTGCGCTCTAGCCGAGAGCTGAGCTCCAGGCGAGCCGTAGTCCTCGGTGGGTCGGCTCCTCAGTGCCTGTCCAGCCCAGGCTTGGCCTTGGGATCCCTCTAGCCTGTTCCTCAGGCAGGAGCACTGCCCGCCCTTGACGCCCCGGGGCCCTCCACCTCCGCTTCCCGGTTCACTGAACCGCGACGAACCCCAGGGAACTCACCTCCCTGCCCAGCAGAGGCAGGATGAGCCCCTTGAGCTGGCTCAGGCTCTCATTGATGCGTGCGCGCCTGCGCTTCTCCAGCAGCGGCTTCAGGGTCTGTGGGCGCGAGGTTGAGCGCAGCGGCTGCGGTTAGGTGGGTGGCGGTGCCGGATCCCTCCCGCCTCCAGTCCTCAGTTCCTACCTTGCGCAGCTCTGCCGCATCCCCTGCCCGGCGAGGCAGTCCCATGCTCAGAGGAAAGTGGAGGTGGCTGCGGGTCCCGCGCGGGGGGAGACCTGGGTAGGCAGGAAGAGCCGAGACAGAGACCAAGACCGAAGTCCGGGGCGCGGCCCGGGCCCGCGCCAAAGAAGTGTGCTGCGCCTGCAGCCGGGTTTAAGTCGGCGGCGTCACCGCCCCGCCCCGCCACTCCCACCTCTCGCCTTTGTTCCTACTGAGGATAAGGTTAAAGGGGAACACGGTGGTGCCCCCAGGGATGCCGCTCCCGGCCTTCCAACCCAGCTGCGGCAGGGTCACGGAATCCGTGGGCGTTATTGGGCTCATAACAGCGCTGACCCGGTGGGCAGAAAGGGCGGGTGAAGCCAGGCTTGCCCTGGCTCTGGCTGTGGGCCCTCTCCAACGCCGCCCTTCTTCATTCACGCCCCGCAGGAGGACTCAGAGAGTTCTATGAGCCGGGGCAGGGACCCAGAGGCTGCAGGCGTGCCAAGGTCAGGGTCTCAGGGAGAGCCCACGAAGATTACTAGGAGACACTCCTGCCACCAGCTGCTCTGAGCTGGGCGGGGAAACTGAGGCTCCGAGAGAGGTCGCGTCTTGTCGAGGCCCTAGCTGTTGGGAACGACCAAGTCAGGACTAGCGCGCGGGAGGTTACACTTCTCTATAAACTCCTCCGCGGCTCGCCCAGTCAGGGATCAGCTGGTTCCCCACCCTCGGCTTTGGATAGGGAAATTAAGCCTCAAAGGAGGCAACCCAGAAGCCCCTTGGAGCTCATTTTTATTTCACCAGGGCTCCAGATTCCCCACCCGCAGGACCGTCGGAGCTCACGTGACTAGCAGGCGGAGCGTCCTAGGTGCCGGTTCTCGGCCGCCCTCCTCTGGGAGTGGCGGGGCCAGCGGCGCGCCAGGGCACGCCTCCGCGACGCGGTGGCCGTTGCTGCTGCAAACTGGCAGGCGTCCCCCGCCCATCTGCTACGGGCTCCCTTCCCCCTATGGGCTGGCGGGGCAACGGCCACCCCTGCGGACCACAATGCAAACTGCGGGGCAGATTGTTGAAGGCGCAGTTGGCAGAACCCACCAAGCCAAATCCAGAAGGAAGTGCGATGGGGCTAAGCCAAGGCAGGCTCTGTCCAGGGTGCTGGATGGACCCCTTCTTTCTCCAGCATAGCCCAGCCCCCACTTCTAGCCCAGGTCCCTTTCCATAGCGTTCCTCCAACAGGGCAAAAGAAGACCAGCTACCCATCAGGAAGGGGACCCGAAGCAGCCTGGCCAAAAGGAGCTAGGGCCACCCACTCCTGTGTGTACCAAGCAGAGGACCTCTGGTCACAATACAGGAGTACTTTCTGTGTGCTAAGCTCAGGGCCAAACTCTTTTTCCCCTAACTTCCATGAATCCTCATAACAGTTCCAATTATGAGAATAAAGCATTCAATACGTGTGTCCTAGCAAGGCTTGGGGGTGCCCTGTCCCTCACTCATGGTTGTTTAGATGCCTATGAGCCAGCCTCCTCTAAGGGAATTATTATTTAAGAGCTTTGCAGATCACTCCACTTACGCACCCCAGGCCATATACACTGATGGCCCACCCTGCACCAAAACCTGCATCCTTGAGGAGAGACTGATACTGAGGAGAAAGAAGGCAATTCGTCCTGAGACACCCCCCTTCAGGCCTAGGAACACTATTTGAGGACAGGGGGCAGAGGAACACACTCTTTTGCAATGCCAGTTACTCCTGAATTTAAATCTCTCCCTCACCACTCCCCCATGACTATAAAGGACTTTGGCCAGGTCACTCACAGTTTACTTCAACCACAGGATTGTGGGGTCTTGTTGCTTATTCGAAGGAGTCCTTTAGAACTGGAGCAACTTAGGTGCGACAGCTGGGTGGACAGGATGTAGGGTGCAGGCTTTAGGTGAGCTAGGGCCTCCTACAGGGCCATGGGGACACAATCCATCCTGGTCTCCACTCCTGGGAAGTACATTGACCCCTGGGTGGGAGAGAGGCCTGAACTTACCCTGAACAGTTTTTTCCCACCCACCAGCTGGGCCCTCTCACTCTCTGGGTGGGGCCTGTGGTCACTGGGATCTGGGATCTCTTCCCAGCAGTTTCCGGATACCTGACAGCCTCACTACTGTCTGTCATGGTATGGCAGACATGGCATATCTGTCTCAGATTCCATCAGAGAGATGAAAGGAAAGAGTCCTCAAGTTGACACTTAGAAGGTGGGAGGCAATGGGGTGCTCTGGCCAGAGAACTTCAAGTACCAAGGGAAGAAGAGCACAGCCAGGTCAGTGGAGAGTGTGCTTTGCTCTTTCCCAGATTTATTCAGGGTGGGGATTGAACTCAGGGAACCTTGACCACTGAGCCATATCCCCAGCCCTATTTTGTATTTTATTTAGAGACACAGCCTCACAGAGTTGCTTAGTGCCTTGCCATTGCTGAGGCTGGCTTTTTTAAAAAAATATTTATTTATTTATGTATTTTCTTTTTTAGTTTTAGGTGGACACATTATTTTGGTTTTTTTTATGTGGTGCTGAGGATCGAACCCAGCGCCCTATGCATGCTAGGCAAGCGCTCCACCACTGAGCCATAACTCCAGCCCCCTGAGGCTGGCTTTGAACTTATATCCTCCTGTCTCAGCCTCCAGAGCCACTGGGATTACAGGTGTGTGCCACCGTGCCTGGCCTCCCATATGCATCATCTTAGGAGAGATGGCTTAAAACAAAACAAGCTCCTGGTGCCTCATTTTCCTCTGCTCTGAGATCAGGATAACAGCTATACTTCCTTCAGCCTCCCTGTGTGAATTAATATCCAGGTGAAGCTTGGAACAAACCGGATAAGTGGCAAGAGTTCCATGCATGTGTCATGTCTTGAGGGCCTCTTTGGTGTTGCTAGAAAGGACCCAGCAGGCTCAGTGGATGTGGGGGGCCCAGAGAGGACAAAAAGGCCTGGCAGAAAGGGCAGGCTCCCAGTCTGAGTGTATGCTGTGTCCTCAGGGAATCTGAGAAACAGGTTAACGGGGGTGGGTGCTCATGCCTGGCATTTGTATAGATGTCACTAGCAGAGTGGGAGGGGCCAAGGGGCATCTGCCTTATTCAGAGGGATGGTAGCAGTGCATCTATTACAGATGAGGTGTCCATGGCTGGAGGAGGGCACCTTGGGGGTGGAGGACATGAATTGCAGGGACTTGTACTCATGAAGGAGTCACAGCGGAACATGACTCAAGAAAGGCAATTTAGTCCCTCGCTCGGGCTACTTGCTGGCTGAGGGGCACTGCCTCTCTGGGCATGCTGGAGGAGGACAGTCCGAAGGCAGCAAGTGCATTGCTCTCGCCATAACAGACATGGTAGTGAGGCTGTCACGAATCCAGAAACTGCTGGGAAGAGGTCCCAGATCCCAAGGACCACAGGCCCCATCCAGAGAGTGAGAGGGTCCAGCTGGGTTGAAGTCGTTGGAAACCCACCTGGCCAGGGCACAGTGGCTCTGGTTTTTAGGTCACCAGCGAGCTGCTGAAAGCCACCACGCCTGGCGCCATCAGGTGGCGGCCCCAGAGAATGGTATTGGAGGCAGCCGCAGAGATCAGAACGAAGACTTCAAGTGTTCCTGGAAGCAGCTTCATTCTACAGCTTATCCAGAGCCGCCTTGTGCCGGCAGGTGCCAGGCGCTGGGTGAAAGTCAGCAGCGGACAGGGGCTGGGCTCTTGTGGGTCTCCGATGGGGGTGGGGTGAGGTGGGATGAGAAAGGAAGGGCACAGGCTGTATCAAGGTCGCTCGATATGCTTATTGCGCTTCTTACAGCGACGCAGCCCCCACTTTCTGGCATTTCTGCTCGGGTCCAGAGGTCCTTGCCTCCTCCAGCTCCCACAACCGGTTTCTAGCCACGCCCGCAGGGTTTGGTGCACATGCGCTCCGCCGCCCGCCCTCGGGCGCCTTCCTGCGTTCTAGCGCGGGGTCATGACACCTTCCTCCAGGATGACGGCGCTGGTGCGTCTCCCGCGGGCCCCAGCCCTCACACCCCCACTTTCTCTTCTAGCTTGGCAGCCCCAGGCCTTCAAGCCCATGGTCGACAGCGGCCCTGGGAGATCTGAATCTGCGGTGTCCAGACCCACAGTTCTGAGCTCACTGGCCACCCCTGTCCTTTCCTCCTTCTCTCTCTCCCTCCCAGAGGACCTGAGGGCAGTGCGTAGGTCTGAAGGTGGGCCTGTTCCTACTTCAGGGCCTTTGTCCTTTCAGACCTCTCCCCTCCACCGGGAATGGATGTCCCTTTTCATCCCCCTAAACCTAGACACCTCCTTCAGATGGATCTTTCTCTGGCCGCTCAAGTCGCCCCGACAAATCACTTCCTCTTACCCCCTTTTGCCTGTTCTAATGACACGTGTCATCCCCTGGAACTGCAATCGTCGCTGGCTTGTGTCTCCAGAGCCCACATAGTGGCCAAGTGGGCAGATGAATGGCTTCCTCTGTGCCTGGACGGCTCTCGAATTCTAGCCCAGTTTTGC